TTCTCTTCGCTGCAGGGAAAAGACGGGGTGGGTTTGGGGAGACGACAGTTTTCAAGCAGCGATTTATGCGGTGGAACTTCTTTCTCGTGAACGGCCTGCGGTACAATGTAATCTACCTGGTGAAATCGTGGAAGTTGGGGGTATATGAAATCGGCACGAAACTATTCGTACTACAGGAGGTAAGTCCACTCTGCCTCCCATTTGAACTCCCGTCCCCGAAAGTGCTTTAGCGACATCAACGATGTGACCTAACAGGCACCAGTTATATGAGACTGTCCTTGCCATTATAGCCCCGTTCGTCCTCCCGATATCCCTCATCGTCCGCCCACGGTTCTGCATTGTTCTCATCATGGCTACCTTCGCGCTGTACTTTCTGAACGTCGTCATCTTTAACGAGGTCCACCTACGACTTAAGCAGGAGCGGGTCAGCTTGAAAGTCATTCTTCTCTATTATGTAAGATGAATATCTGGGACTCGCGGATAGAACGGATCTTAACCCGGAAATGCAGATGCCATACAAGATCATGATCGCCATCATCAACGTCGGAAGCAACTACTGGTCCCTGTACAAGTATGCTCGGTACTTTGCCAAGCGACGGCCCAAGCTCACGGAAGACCACAAGGCGGTTGGACTGGTACTGAAATTGGAAGAGAGCGCGCAGAACCGGGGCCCTGGCTCCACTGGACTCGGACGCAACCTGACGGTGCGCTCAGTTGGCGTCCGGCGGAGCAATCGAATGAGCAGTGGGCCGGGCTTAACTGCGCTTCGCAATCGGTGGTCCCTGCAAAGTCACGCTGAAGAGCCGGAGGGAACGGATGTTATAATAGAGCACTACACATAAGCTTCACACGGAAGCAACCTAATATACTGCTGTGGATAGAATAAATGAACCCTGTTTCTAGGTTCGAAACTTTTTTCGATGCATTAGTCTCTTAGCACATGTAATGCCTTGCATCCTCCCGCTAACCCTAATCTCAATTTTTCTTGGTAGTCAACCCTCACTAAGCTATCTTCAGGACGGGAGCGCCGCTATGGCAGTAGCTGTGACTACAGCCGCGCGTGAAGCCAGCCATCAATGCGTCGATACACTGACCTGAATCCATTGCCACTGGCTACAAAACCCATTGGATCGAATACTACTACCAAAGATGGATATCCCGAATATCTATCACGACAGTTTCTGAACATTCCTGGTTGTACTACGCTCTCAACCTGTTTGTCCATTAAGAGGCACATTGACAATTAGGATATACGTACTACAAAAGTACAGTCCTCATAACGCCCCCAAGGATACCTCTGGCGAGAATATCCACCGACCATCCATTCATTCAGTCATGAATTCCTAGGAATGGCATGTCATCAACAACACATCAATGATATGAGGCTCTCAATCTTTTTCCATCACTTAAAGTTCGCATCTAGCATTCTTGCGATGCGATTTCCTTGTCTCGCCCCTCTGATCGAGGGGGTGGCTTTGTTTTCTCCCTTTCAATTACTAGACTTGTTGCACCCGAGCATTCCTGCACGTCCCCCATCCAATCTAATGGTACCTTCATCCCTGGCGGATATTTCCGGCTCTGGGCTTTTCCTTTTTTTCCTTTTTTTCTATTTGTTATTTCCCCCCCTTTTTTGTAAGTTTCTAGGAATTTGAAGTTGACATGAATCGTGGAGAGTGGATACTATGGGGTCGGAGTGTGGCTATGCAATTATTTTTTGTGTCCTGTTTATCTGGGGATTGTAGGGATGGTGTTGGTAAGGGTGCCTGTCATGTGTAGTTGCGAGGGAGCTTGCTGGATAGGATATTGATTCTCTATTGCTATTGTGCTATGTGGAGAGAGGAGTTTTATCATTTGTATACTTTTTTTCTTTTTTCTTAATTTTCTTTTCTTTTTCTCCTTTGGCCTTTCTAAGTAACACACTCTCAACTTCTGGTGTGGACTGTAGGGGAATGGTACTGAGTACATAGACCATATATATCCGGTAGTGCATGGTGTTTGATCATCAAAATTGCAATCGATGCTTCCAACGGAACACTATGACAAGTTGCAGTGTGCTAATCCCATACGTGAGACAGCAGTGACCGACGGTCACTGATGACTTTCCGGACGACTGACTCTCGAACCGTGATACTGTTAACACGATACTTTCTCTCGGTATTCTGATAAGCTTACTTCGAGTATATAATTCTCAAGACGTACAGATTGTAGGCTTTAGGACGCCATGAGAGTGTACACTAGAAGAAGACAGCAGGCGGGGTACTATATGCAGTATACTGTCTTGGGTGTTCTGCCATGGAATCGGATATGCTCCGAGAGAGCAGCTGTTGTGTGACTTTGACTGACCGCAAGGGATGACATCCTCAGTCTCTTTGTCTGGTCGCATCGACCGCCTCTACCCCGCACAACTCCCACCAACAAGTCAAACCCCCTCAGTATCATGCAGCAGAATTCGCCATTGACCACTCATCAGCTGCAGGAATACGAATGCATCGAGCTCGTCTCGGTCGACGATGTCTGTCCCTCGATACGAGGGCTCATGAGTGTCAGTATATGAGGTTGATCCCTTCCCTCTTCTCTGTCGGGTGAAGCTCCATAGTCCTTAGAGTCTGTCACTGCCATCATGCGTCTCCTCAACAAGGTTGCTCTCGTCACAGGCTCGTCTTCGGGCATTGGACGGGCCATCGCTCTGCGTTATGCTCGGGAAGGAGCCAAGGTTGCCTGTGCGGACATCACTCCGACTGCACGCTCGCCGGTGCCGAACGAACTAGACATTACTACCCACGATGCGATCAGTCAAGAGGGCGGGCAGGCTTTCTTCCTCCAAACGGATGTGGGCGATGCATCCCAGATGGAAAATGCAGTGCTGAAGACTGCACAACAGTTTGGTCGGTTGGATATGTATGTTCGTTGTAGAAGTCCCCTTATCTCGGCAACCGAAACAACTGACAATCTATTCGCAGTATGGTCAACAATGCAGGGGTCTCTCTTGAATCTCGCACCCCGGCTCGCATCCACGAAACCACCAATGAACTGTACGACACTACCATGCGGATCAATACGCGCTCGGTCTTTCTGGGCAGCAAGTACGCCATCACACAGATGCTGAAGCAGGATCCGCATCCTTCGGGCGATCGGGGATGGATCATCAATCTGTCATCCATTCTTGGGATCGTGGCAGCGACAGAGAATCGTAGGTCAACCCGTTCCAGATGCGACAAGGTTGGTGACGATCATGCTAAGCTGTGATAGCATCTTACTGTGCCTCCAAGGGGGCTGTCAGCAATCTCACGCGTCAGGTGGCGTTGGATTATGCGCGCGATCGCATTCATGCGAATGCTATTTGTCCGGGATGTAGGTCTCTTATCGTGTTTGCAGATTGTTGACTGTTGACTCTATTGTGGGCGGTGACTGACTGACAAGGGATGTAGATACCCGGACAGCCATCTATGAGGAGACAACGGAGTATATGCACGCCGCGGCGGACTTGATCCGACGACATCCCTTTAATGGGCCTGGATTACCGGATGACATTGCGCGGGTGGCCGTGGTGCTGGCGAGCGAGGATGCCAGCTGGATGACGGGAGCCGTGGTTCCGGTTGATGGAGGGTATACTGCGCGGTGAGATCTCACCTGGGAAAATTCTAAGTGACAGCCATTGTAGGTAGAGCCTAGCGAGAGCGAACATTTAATGTCACGGAGTTCTCAGAGTCGCTCGATAGTACTAGCATCTGTGGAGAACATTATATATATATAACGGCTTCGGCCTTGGCTGCGATGCAGGTAGAAACAAGCATATTGCCAATGAAACGCTGCCGAGGATACGTTTGAAATTTGGACTCTAATTGGAAGCTACTAGGTCCAAGCTATTCGGATCTACTAGTACTTTTAACTTTAAGCTCTTCTGGAAGACATCGAGGAAAGACATAGTGTAGTGACCTTGGACCCCAAGACACCGACCGGTACCTGATATGCAGCCTACCAATACGCTTCATAATTCACACTCGACTCGGATAACTCGGTTCTCCGTCACCGTTGAAACAGACGCTAACCCGCAAACAATATCCGGAGAACCGAGAAGGCAGTGGGTGGCAAGGCAGATGGCCTGCAGCGGGTGGAGCATCGCCGCGGGGGCCATCAATTTCATTGCAAACCGAGATGCAACGAGGTAAGCAGAGCTCCGTCAATCAGAAGCGAGCGATTAGCTGCCGAGCAAACGATGAGCTAATGATCAGTCATTTGTGGCAGTCATGAAAGGACCAGAAAAGAGATAAGTGGCAATATACTCGGATACAATGTAACAAGGCTTTCTAGAAGGACAATCGGAATCCCACCGAGCCGACCAGGGCCAGGGTCGCCGCACCAATCAGCGTGCAGCGGAGACGCGGCTATCGTCGGGGCGCGGCAGGGTTGGGCGGGGCGGGAGCCTTTTTTGTTACTTAATTTTAACCTCTGGTTTTCTTCATTGGCTCTCCCAACTAAAAATAAGACTAAAAGAAACTGCTGGTCTGTGGGGCAGAAACACCAGGATCTTCGCCTTCTTCGATGTTACTAAGTAAGTAACCAAGCATGCTGCCGATAAGCAAAATTGTAAGAGAGGGGGTAAAAAAAAGAAAAGAAAAAAAGCTAGATGCAGATGCAGCTACCGGATGGGCACGGCCCTCGGTCTTCTCAACGGACAAGCCACGCCCGCGCTCCCCCCAATGCAGTAACCGCGACTCAACACGGGTATCTACTTACCTTTCATTCTTCTGGTCCTTCTTTCTTTCCTTCTTTCTCTCATCTGGCCTCTCGTCTTCCTCCGTGTTCAACCTCGACCTTTGTGTGGCCGGCAGCTCATCCTGCAGAGGCTCAGCCAGCGGAGGACCAGATCGTCATCGACCCACCGTGAGAATTTTTTTAGTTTCAGCTTCGCGTCCATCGGCACTCTAGTTGCTGTTACTACTGCTGCGCTGCTACGTGCGTCTATCTGCAACCAGGCAGCTCTCTCATTCCCAGTCACGATGCGTTTGGACGGCGTTGCCCCTCCGCCTGATGCGGTTGAGCCCAAGAGTCAGCGGGAGAAGGATGAGGACGTGGAGGACCTCAAGGCTATCAATAATGCGCCTGAGGTGGACGCCTTTGGTGATGAAGCTAATGCGGAGGTCAAGTACAAGACCTTGAAGTGGTGGTAAGTGCTTCTGTCGTGTCTGATGATAGACGATAAGCTAATGGCGCCAGGCAATGCGGAATGTGTATGTGATCAGGACGATTACTTTACAAATTGCGAGATACTAACCAGCATAGTCATGATTGCTGAATCCGTGTCGCTCGGTGTCTTGTCTCTTCCGGCTACTATGACGGCCCTGGGTCTTGTTCCGTAAGTCAGCGCCTTGATGCTTCCGCACTGCGACTAACCGGTGCAGCTCTCTCATCCTCATCATCGGTCTCGGTATCCTCGCCCTGTACACTGGTTATGTCATTGGTCAATTCCGTGAACGCCACCCTTACATCCACAACCTCGCCGATGCGGGAGAGATCCTCATGGGCAGCTTTGGTCGGGAATTGTTCGGACTGGGCCAGATTCTCTTCTCCATCTTCATCATGGGTAGCCACATCGTCACCTTCACTGTTATGATGAACACCATCACCGATCACGGTACCTGCTCCATCGTGTTCAGTATCGTTGCATTCGTCATCTGTCTCGTTCTCTCGCTGCCTCGCACTATCAAGAACTTGACTTACATCTCCACTGCCTGTAGGTTTCCATTACCTGGTTGTGCAGGGCGACGCTAATGGATTCAGCCTTCCTGAGTATCTTCTCCGCGGTTATGATCACCATGATTGGTGTCGGTGTGCAGTACAAGGGTGGACAGAACATCAGCATCACTACCGAGACCAACCTGTACACCGCGTTCAGTGGTGTGACCCAGATTATGTTCGCGTACTGTGCGCACGTCGCCTTCTTCGGTCTGATTGCCGAGATGGAGGAGCCTAAGGACTTCCCCAAGGCGCTGTGTCTGCTGCAGGGCTTCGAAATCTCCCTCTACGTTACCGCCGCCATCGTCATCTACTACTATGTGGGCAACGGCGTTGACTCGCCGGCCCTGGGATCGGCTGGTCCTGTCTTGAAGAAGGTGGCCTACGGCATGGCCATTCCTACGGTGAGTCCCCCTCTCTATGTCCGACGAGGACTAGTTCTAATGGTGTGTAGATTATCGGTGCCGGTGTGGTCAACGGACATGTTGGTCTCAAGTACATCTACGTGCGCATCTTCCGCAAGTCGGGTCGCATGCACAAGAACGACTGGGTCTCGGTGGGATCCTGGATTGGCATTGGCGTGACCTGCTGGGTGATTGCCTGGATTATCGGCGAGGGTATCCCCTCTTTCAGCAACCTGGTCAGTCTCATCAGTTCGCTGTTTGCCAGTTGGTTCAGTTTTGGTCTGCCGGGTGCCTACTGGCTGCACATGAACTACGGCCAGTGGTGGTCGAGCCCGAGGAAGTGTGCTCTGACTATCATTAACATGCTCATCTTTGCCATTGGTGGCGCGATGGTAAGTCTTTAATTTCTCTTCTCTTCTATATCAGCTCATGCTAATTGTGTAGTGCGGTCTTGGTCTGTACGCGTCCGGCAAGGCGATCCACGACGACTCGTCTCGGTCCAGCTTCTCGTGCGCCAACAATGCATAGAGAGAGTACTTGGATAGGAAAAAGAAATTGGATGACTAGACGACTAATGGGAGGCGATTTAATGTATATAAAAGCACAATCCATAGAATCCGTTTTAATTCGTGCTGAGCACGTCAATCAATGTGCATAGCGGTTTTTACAATGTCTGCATGTGATGACTACAGGAGAAGATGCAGCTCGTGGCTGATAGGACCACCTGTCCATCTGTAAGTGAACTAGAAATATGACAAAGTCCTATCTAGCAATGTTAGTAAAAAGTACTGTAGTATATGCAGAACTTGGCCAACCACGGCAGGTCTGCAGGCGAAGCATCTGATGAGTAGCGAGCATGTGTAGATTTGCA